TGTGCGTGTGTGTGTGTGTGTGTGTGTGTGTTTGCTCACGCGCACGTGCGAGCGTCTGTGTGTATATTGTGTGTGCGTGATGAAACACCAAACCAATGTGCCAGGATCTGGACAACAAAGATGTGGTCGCTTTTAATGACAGTCGGGTTAACCCAGATTTCGGTGGTTACCAGAAATCTTGACCTACACCAAAAGTGGGCACTACCCTACCTATAGGAGAAGTTTGGTTTCATTATTGAGTAGGCTTATATTTGTTTGGTTATAAAGAAAACTCTCTATGTCTTTTGCAGAAACTGAACAAGGGTCTCAAAACTTTACCTTCGATTTTGTCAAAACAGCATTTTTCGGGATAGCCCCCTTGTGCTTTAAATTTAAAGCGATCATGTATCCTATCTTGCTCTGTTCTCGTACACAGAGAAGGCGACACGGTGATCCCTCACCACGGCTCCATGGAGCACTCCCACCCTGACCTCTGCGGCTTCTGCTGGTGCCAGAACGGAGACAAGGCTTGCCACCACTACGACTGTCTCGGCCCAATACCCTGAAGACTGGAAAACCAAACTCTGCTGTCTAATGACAAAGATCGTACATAGCAAGATTGTTCACTCAGCCAAAATGTGAGCGCGGAAGTCTGTAGGCCCTACATTGTTTCAGATGGCGCTGCGTCTTTGTTTTGAAGCTCTCTTTCGTTTCTCCAGAAGAAAAACAGGAATAGCAGTTTGTTAGTTTCACGTTTTGTTGTTTTTCACACAAGTAAGTAGGTTAACTCTATTCCTAAAGTCCGCGCTTTTTCGAAGAGGGCGCCACCGAATTTTTAGACAACTTTTTTGATATGCTCAAAGAGAGAAGTGAACAATCTTGTTTTACACGATCTTTGCTTATAACAAAAACGTATATGATGCAAAATTAGGTCAATCAGTGTTTTATACAGGGCAGAAACCCCTTTTCCTGGCGTGTCTTTCTATCTTGGTTTTATGACTGTACAATTAAAATTAAGACAGTTTTGGGGCTTTCTGTTGAAAATATGCCTTGTGGCCTAATTACACACCGATATTGTTATGACAAAAGAAGTTTTAGTCAATTACCACATAACTATTTACTGTATACCTCAGCAAATCAGACAAAACTTAAATATCTACATCGGCCAATGAATATTGACATAAAATAATCAGATTGACCAACTGTTTGGCTGATTTGAAGCAAACACACAGACCTAGTTCGTTTTTTTTGTTGTCTCTCTTGTGAAATTTCCTTTTTGGCATAAACGATTTTTCTGTCATTAGACGGTTGAACTAACGGGACATTTTAATCTTTGACCTGACATCTCTTTTTTGTCCTCGTTTCCTTTGAAGGAAAAGAAGTACGAGTCCTGCTTGTTTAGAAAATTAATCAGATGAATACATTTTCCTTTCTGAAACCTGCGTATTTCCTTTTGTGTGATTTTGGTGTACATTTACGTAACCTTGTGGTTTGAATGTCTATCTATGTGTGTATTTACCTGTGTGTGCATGTATATGTGTGTGTATGTTTGTGTGTGTTTGTGTTTGTGTTTGTGTTTGTGTGTGTGTGTGTGTGTGTGTGTGTGTGTGTGTGTGTGTGTGTGTGTGTGCGTATGTGTAGGCTACATGTATCGGATGAGCATGTCGCAGAGATGAGCTGTTACAATATTGTTGACGCACTGAAAACAAAGAAGAGCTGCCTGGTGCGAAATCCTTTCACAGGGCTCCAGCGACATCACTGATCCGCCACCCGTGCAAAATTCAAAATTTCCTAGGCTACCCACTAAGAATGTTTAATGTGTCCCGCACGCTCGATCATATGACCTTATGCATTTGAGAGCGCCGAAAAAAAAGCTACCAAAAAAAAAAAGAAAAAGAAAAAGGAACTGATCCTAGGACCAGCAGTATAGTATAAGTAACACTTTCATTACGCTTGTCAGCCTTTGTAAGACATGCCATTTATTTGTTAAGACTTTTGCGGCCACTCGCAGTAATAATGCGACGGTGAAAATTATCATTTCCGGTCACAGGGCACAGCTCTGCGCTAGGCCTGAGAAGTCCGTTACAGTACAGTCACTCTCCTGGCTGGGTGACCAGATGTGGTATTTTGTACTGCTGGCTGTGTGACTGCACAAGTGGTAAGGGCTTACATGTTTTGTAGAAAACAGGTTGGGTTTTTTTAATTAAACATGATCAAATATTTCATGAAAATTGATTCTAAATCTGGACGCTCCAAGAAAAAAATACAATGAGGAAAGAGACATTTGTATGCGATTTTGACTTTTTTGTGTGTCACGGCATGGTGGACTCAGGCGCTCGTCAATTTTTGGGCATGTAGGTCTAGATTTGTTGGTATCATCTTATAAAACGTGTTCATTTGTTGTTGTTGTTGTTGTTTGTTTGTTTTAATGAAAGAATATCCATCTGTCTTTAAAAGAAGTGGAGATATTTGCGATTGAGGTAGGTGGGGGTTGCCTGGTGTCAGAGGTAACATTAGCGAGAAAATGGCCGTCAAGGTTTGGTGAGTTCTAAACCTTGAGTGTTCATGGGAACTGCACATTAACATTTTTTATTCTTTTCATAAACTTTGCTCTGTAAAATCAACAGAGAAATTGGTTTTTAGATAAACGAACATGGTGTTGAGCAGGACCCAAAAAAAATGAAAACAACCAATGACAATATTTGACAAACAGGCAGAAAAGAATGTCTCTTTCTTTTAGATCAAGTTCCTAATTTAGACGAGCTCCTGATTCAGCCACGTAAATAGTAAACATTGCCAAAAGGGCGAGAAAAAAAACTGTTTCCTCTAGTTCACCATTCAGACGAGCGCCTGATCTAACCACGGAGCCACACATACATTTTTTAATCAGCTTTTTATCTTTCCACGGGTCTCCCGTAGACCGAGTAGAAATAGTCCACTATGGCACTGATCACGTCCAGCTCAAAGTTCACAATGGCTTTGACGGTATGCACGAAGACAGACATTAGGCTCTGGCCAAAGTCCGCCACCGCTCCCGCCAACTCCAGGGGGATCTCCCCGACCTTGTCCGACATCTGGGCTGGACCAGAGAGAGAGAGGGGGGGGGGGGAGGGGGTCTTGTTGTGTGGCTCTGGGCTAACTGTCAGTTGGTCTTCTGTGGAGAGAAATAATAATAATAAATAATGATGATAATAATAATAATTTTTAAGGGGGGGGGGGGGGGGCTACACCTGAAGACTATCTCGCTTATTACTGGACCGAAATTTACCAAATATTTCACACATATAACAAGCATAGTAAGGAGTCTTAAAAACCGCTATCAAATTTTAGAAAAAATTTCTTTTCCAAGGCTACGGCGGCCATATTGGATTTTGTTGACATGTCTTACGTAATGAATACCGCACTTACTGTTCATGGAAATTGATTTTTTTTTTGCGTGCGTATTAAAAAACATTAGATCTCAAAATTTGACTGTTGTTGTTTTTTCCTAAACGAATTTTAAAAAAATTTTATGAATTTTTTTCTGAGGTACCATTCAAGTTTGCAAAAAAATCCGTGAAAATTCACACTCAAGACACCACCAACAAAAAAACTATTCCAAATATCCAAAATTTAAAAGACAGATTTTTAGTATTTTATCTTTTCATCATTCTTTGAAAAATTCACGAAGATTGGAAGAAAAATGGTGGAGTTATTCAAAAAAAGTATAGAGAAAAGACGCGTTTTGAGAAAACGGCCGGTAAAGAAAAATAAAATATTGTCTTTATGAGGAAATGGTGGTGATAAACATACCCGGCATGGGAAAAAATACGGTTTTGGGGGGTTCTTATGCGATGAAATAGTTATAGGAGAGGCTGAGATAGGCTAAAAATGCCTACAACTCAAATTCCATAATTTTGAGCCGAATCGGGGCTTTAGGGGTGTGCCCCCCCCCCCCTTTTAAAGATAGCATATGTATAGCGCATACCCCCTGTCGACAGCAATCTCTATGCACTTTACACTATATTACTACCCCAGCAGACCATAGAACACTCCGAAACATTCTCAGCTTCCCGGGAAGCATACAGTGCAAGCAGCTGGTTAAGGCGCTCAAACACTAACAAACTAACAAGATCTTTCGCTGTCTATAGCCGGGTACCCATTCCCACCTGGGTGAAGTGGGGAAAATTCCTGTAAAGTACAACAATATCGTGTAAAGCGCATAGAGGTTGATGCAGAACGGGATTATACGCTATACAAATGCTATTCATTATTTATTATTATTATCATTATTATCAATATTATTATTATCAT